GAGTTTCATGCGCGCCCGATTGCTCAGCAGTGGTCGCAGGGGCCATGCGAGTTATTTGTCGACTGCAAGGCCTGCGTTTACTTCCACGGCCTGCCGTGGGCTGAGCAGTGTTCGCCCAAGCGTGCGCACGCGGGCGTTGCTCAATTTTGCCGGTCGTTCTCCCAGCAGTGCAACGCGCGCAAAGTCAAGGCTCACCTCGACGTGGAAGCGTCCGGATATAGCTGGGAGCGGTGCCTGCGTGAAGGTAACCACGCCGTGGATCTGTCTGCCAAGCAAGCCTTGTTGTTGCATCCTCAGCCGACATAGAGCAGGCTGAGATGTTGGACCGCTCCTTGGCTGTCGCTCGAGCCGTGGGGCCCCTTGCCGCCAAACATATGCCGCTTTGGCCCCGCCTCGATCTAGGTCCGAACGCGAAGCGGGCCCCAATGCCTGCTCAGCCTAGCGAGGGGCAGGGGCCGCGGCATGCTTGGGCGTGGACTGGCAGGTTCTGGCAGCGCAGCCGTTGTTTCGGGGCTCTCGCTCGACAGACGAGCCAGCAGCTGGTCTCTGTAATGGGGGCGCTGGCGTCGGGATCCGCGGCATGGATGCCCCTGCCTTCGAGGCGCCGGGGCGCGTCATGCTGTTCCCCGACGCCAGTGACAAAAGTTTTGCGCTTATTTGGCTGCTGTGCAAGCACTGCTCTGGTGGTGGCCAGGTCCGCGGGCTACGCCGGCAGTGTGTTCCTCTCCCCGGGGTCGGGGCTCAGGGGCGCAGGTACGCCTGGCGATTGATCTCTGAAGGGCCCCACCCCAAGAGGGGGGAGTCACGGCCTCCGTGGGGCCCCGATGCAGGGAGGAGGGGGGGGGGGGCCCACCCCCTCTGTCGAGCCCCCCCCCCGTTTCGGCCTCGGATGGGGGGAATGCGCGTGAGCAGCGCAGGGCGGCGGTGGCCCAGCGTCTGCTCGCTGCAGCGAGCGCGAGCCCAGTCCACTCGTGTCCCGACTGATCGACTCGGCCAGTTGGCCGCTCTTTCGATGTTTAAATCGGAGGAGAGGTGGTGAGATCGAAGTGGAACGGAGAGCCCCCCTACCGGGAAATCGATTTCGGTTTCGTGTTCGTGCGTGCCGTGCGTGCGGGCGAGGCGAAGCTGCGTGGGCGGGCGCGAAGAAAGTCTCCTGTGGCTGAGGCGCGGCCGGACCAAATGTCTCCCTTCCGGGCGGCCGGGGGCCCGCGGTGCCCCGCCGGTGCCCCGCTGGTGTCCCGTGTGGCTGAGGCGCGGCCTGGCCAAATGTCTCCCTTCCGGGCGGCCGGGGCCCCGCGGTGTCCCGCCGGTGTCCCGTCGGTGATGATGATGATGATGATGATGATGATGATGTTGACAACGATCATGATGGTGGTGATGATGATGGCGGTGATCATGGTGAGTTCGGCAGTGAGACCGAATGTGGGGTCGATTGTGGGATCGATTGTGATATCGATAGCGAGGTCGATAGTGAGACCCAATGTGAGATCGATAGTGAGATCGATAGTGAGTTCGATAGTGAGATCGATAGTGAGACCGAATGTGAGATCGATTGCGATATTGCTTGTGATATCGATAGTGAGATCGATTGTGATATCGAACGAGAGGTCGATCATGACTTCGATAGTGAGATCGATAGTCAGTTCGATAGTGAGATCGATAGCCATATCGATTGAGATATCGATCGTGAGATCGATAGTGAGACCGAATGTGCGATCGTTTGTGAGATCGATTCAATTGTGAGATCGATCGAATGAGATCGATAGTGGTATCGGTAGTGAGATCGATCGTGGGACCGAATGTGGGATCGATCGAGGGATCGATCGCCAGATCGATTGTGATATATATATATTGTGAGATCGATTGTGTTTTCGATAGTGAGATCGCTAGTGAGATCGAGTGTGAGATCGATAGATCGATTGCGATTTTGATCGAATGAGATCGATAATGAGATCGATAGCGAGATCGATAGTGAGATCGATCGAGTGCGACGGTGGTCCCCCCCCCTCGCCTCCTTATCACCCGAAGGGTGGTTTATGCGGTACTCATTGCGCCCCTGGGGCGCGGCCGTGGGGTGGCGTCTCCCATCCGGTGACCGCGGTTCTGGGGGATCCCAGGGCTCGTGGCGCGCTTGGGCACGGGGGAGGCCTCCTCCCTGACTGCTGCTCTCTGGCGTGCTTGGTGCAGACTTGGCGTGCCATCGCGCGATGTCTCCGCTCCCTGTCGCGCGGCCGTGGGCTGTAGTTTCCCGCGGCGGCCGCTGCTCAGGGGGTCGATATTGTGTCCTGCGGCGTGCTGGGCACGGGGGGGGCCCTCCCGGACCGTGGCCCTGGCGTGCACTGGTTTCGGCCGACCTCGGCGTGAGATGGGCTCGCGTGGTGGGTTCGATCTGGGGGTTTGTTGTGCCCTGTTCGGCGGTGCTGGTCACGCAGCCAGCCCTGGAATTCGGGCCTTGGAATTCCGTCGGGCAGGCGCCGCCGGCCGTCCTTTTCACTGCTGCGCGCTGCCCTCGCCCCCCTGTTGCACGGCCATGGGGTGAGTAGTCTCCCGCGGCTTCCGTTGCTCAGGGGCCGCCTCCAGTGCTCTGAGTCCGCGTCTGGGCGCGGGGGGGACTGTCGGCCCCCCCTGACTGTCGCCCCCCGAGCTGCTGGTAATTAGACTCTGGCTTGGGTTGAGTTGGGCTCACGCGGCAGGTTCGATCTGGGGTTTTGCTGTCTCGTGCAGCTGGCCGTCCTTTTCACTGCCTCGCGTTGTCCTCGCCCGCTTGTTGCACGGCCGTGGGGTGACGTCTCCCCTGCGGCGACCGTTGCACAGGGGGCCGCCACCCTTTTCTCCCTCTTTCGTGCCTGGGCATGGGGAAGGCTTCTCCTTTCCGACGGTCGCCCTGACGGTGGACCAGGGGCAGTGGCGTGCACAGCCGTTGCTGCCCTGCCGCTCACGCTGTAGGCGTGTGGTCGGCGGCCTTCGTGCCCTGTCGGTGCAGACAGAGGCTTTGTTTTCTACGGCGACCTGAGCCGAGGGTCGATCCGTGCGGGGAAGGGGGCCATAGCGGGCGCTCCGAAAGGAACTCGCGAAGCCCCCTCCCCAAAGCGGCTCTCGCCGAGGCGAGGGCGCCTCATTTTGCCTCTTGGCGCTCGCCCTGCCTCGAGGCAGCATGTGGGCTTCAATTTTCGCTGCTGCAGAAAAAAAAATCCCCCTCCTCCCCCGATTCCTCCTCCTCCTCCCCTCCTCCTCCTCCTCCTCATCCTCCCGTGGTGTCCGCCGCTGCTGGGGCGAAGTCAAGACACATGTTTTTCCTCCATCCAGCGGTGGCTCTAGCGGTGTCCCGTTGTGCCCCGTGGTGGCCCAACTTGTCCCGTGGTGTCCGCCGTTGTTAGGGCAAAGTCACGACAATTTTTTCTTCTCCCTCCGGCGGTGGCTCTAGCGGTGTCCCGTGGTGGCCCGTGGTGTCCCGTGGTGTCCGCCGTTGCCAGGGCGAAATCAAGACATGATTCTTCTCCGTCTGGCGGTGACTAGCGGTGTCCCGTGGTGTCCCGTGGTGGCCCGTGGTGGCCCGTGGTGTCCCGTGGTGTCCCGTGGTGTCCGCCGCTGCTGGGGCGAAGTCAAGACAAATGATTATCCTCCGTCCGGCGGTGGCTCTAGCGGTGTCCCGTGGTGTCCCGTGGTGTCCCGTGGTGTCCCGTTGAGTGATTTCGATCGTGAGATCGACAAGTGTCCCGTGGTCTGCCGCTTTGTCTCGCGGTGTCCCGTATAGTGAGATCGATAGTGAGATCGACACTGAGATCGATGTGGTGCCCCGAGGTGTCCCGTGGTGTCCCGTGGTGTTTTATGGTGTCCCGTTGAGTGAGATCGATAGTGACATCGACAGTGAGACCGATCGGAGGTTGGAGGGTGAGATCCCAGTGGAACGGATATCCCCAACCGGGAAATCGTTTCGCTTCGTTCGTGTCGCGCGTGCGGGCGAGGCGAAGCTGCGTGGGCGCGCGAGAGGAATGAGCCCGCCGCTGCTAGGGCGAAGTCAAGACAAATGTTTCTCTTCCGTCCGGCGGTGGCTCTAGCGGTGTCCTGGGTCCCGTGATGTCCGCCGTTGCTAGGGCGAAGTCGAGACACATGCTTCTCCTCCGTCCGGCGGTAGCTCTAGCGGTGTCCCGTGGTGTCCCGTGGTGGCCCGTGGTGTCCCGGGTGTCCACCGTTGCTAGGGCGAAGTCAAGACAAATGTTTCCCCTCCGTCTGGCGGTGGCTCTAGCGGTGTCCCGTGGTGTCCCGTGGTGGCCCCTCATTGTCCCGTGGTGTCCGCCGTTACCAGGGCGAAGTCAAGCCAAATGATTCTCCTCCGTCCAGCGGTGGCTCTAGCGGTGTCCCGTGGTGGCCCGTGGTGTCCCGTGGTGTCCGCCGTTGCTAGGGCGAAGTCAAGACAAATGTTTCCCCTCCGTCTGGCGGTGGCTCTAGCGGTGTCCCGTGGTGTCCCGTGGTGGCCCGTGGTGGCCCGTGGTGTCCTGTTGAGTGAGATCGATAGTGAGATCGATAGTGGGATGGAGAATTGTTCCGTGCTGTTCCATGGTGTCCCGTTGAGTGAGATCGATAGTGAAATCGAATCTGAAATCGATGTGGCGCCCCGAGATGTCCCGTGGTGTCCTATGTTGTCCCGTCGAGTGAGATCGATAGTGAGACCGATAGTGAGATCGAGAGGTGTCCCGCGGTGTCCCGTGGTGTTCCTTGGTGGCCCGTGGTGTCCCGTGGTGTCCCGTTGAATGAGATCGATACTGAGATCGACAGTGAGATCGACAAGTGTCCCGTGGTGTCCCGTGGTGTCCCGTTGAGTGAGATCGATTGTGAGATCGATTGAGTCAGATGTTGGGTCCCCCCCTCTCCCCCCCCACAACCTCCTTATCACCCGAAGGGTGGTCGTATAGGTAGCAGTAGTATTAGTAGTAGAAATCGTAGTAGTGGTAGTAGCAGTCGTAGTATCAGTAGTAGTCGTAGTTGGCTCAAGATGCCTA